CCCCTCCTCCATAACGCCGATGCAATCCGCTTCGAGGAGCTGGATACGGGCGACCAGCTCCAATCGACTCCTCAAAGCGGCTATGTCCTCCGGCTCATCCTCGGCAGGAAGCATGGCGACCCTCAGGTCCTCGATCTCTCTGGTGAGGCGCCCGATGTCGATTTCCAGACGCTCCCGATCCGCACGGAGAAGCTCTCTCTCCTCGGCTAGCTTCCCCGAGCTCTCCTTCTCCAGAGTCAGCATCTCTCTCTCGGCAGCCAGCAGCGCGGCTTGCTCGCGGAACATCTCCTCGGAGCGCTCCAGGGCAGTCCTTAACTTTCGCGAGCTCGAGGTGAGGGCCGCTTTTTCCTGTTCTAATTCTTTGATGCGGTCGGGATCCTCCCCTTCCTCGGACAGCACAACGGCCATTTCAGCCATCTTCACCAGCCCGACCATATTGGCGGCCAGGTGCCTCCTCCGGTCCTCCTTGCTCATCCTCCTGATGGCCTCAGCCTCATCGGCAGTCACGGACAAAGGGAACCCCTCGAAGAAACCCTCCTCTTTGAAGCAAGGGGCAACCCGAAGGACCTTACGGCACTGGAATCCTCGCCGACCGCCGGCCCACTTTCCACCCGGTTCCTTTTTCTTTGTATCAGGTCGGCATGTGGCTCGACCTCTTGGACCTCCGGGGTCTCTTCCGAAGCAGCCCCCGAGCTAGGCGACGAATCCACCCTCACCACATGAGGAACGCCCGGACTATGCGGCGGGCCCATCCTCGTTGCTTGAGGGGCCTTCACCACCCTCTTGTTCGCCCTCCGATCATAGGACAACTTCAAGAGCCTCTCCCGTCGCCCGACCATCGAACCTGCACAAATAAAAAACCGGGTTAGTGTCGAGCAAATAAGCAAACAAATGGCAAGCAAATTCAAGCAATAAACGACCTAGCAGACAAGCAGCCTGCCCGAATGACTGGCACTCCACGAGTGCCTTCGTATCGATCGGTCGGGCCTCGAATGTCGGATAACCCTCCTCGTCCAGGACATCTTCCCCCTCCCTCGTGGCCCATCTGGCGGGGTGGAAGATATCAACGTACCGACAAAGAGTGTAGTAAGCCTTCTCATCCTCGGAACCCATGTCGCCCGCAGACGTATGATAATACCCAGTACCGTACTCATAATTCCTAGAGATCCAATGCACGGGGAACTTGTCCGTGCGTCCCAACACCGGATACCCGTCGTTGTCTAAAAGTGCCTCCCCGTCATCGTCGCTTATCGCCGCTTCCTCCTCGTACAGGGACTCTAAAGCGGTTGTGGTAACCGGCCTCACAATATACCACTTGTCTTTAAAACCCCGCACGGAGTCCATGTACATCCTGAAAAGTCTCTTCGACTGTTTCAGGGAGACCCAATTGTGCTTTCCTCCCCGGGACTGGCGTTGCAAATGGAAGACTCTGAAGAAGAGAGGTATAGTCGCCCCAATCCTCAGAAAACGACAGGTCAGCTCAAACGCCCGGATAAAGGCGAGCGAATTCGGGTGTAGCTGCGACGGGGCCAGCCCCAAATGGCCGAAGACCCCGGCCTGAAAGTCGCTGAAGGGCAGCTGCAACCCAAGGTCTTTGAATGCAATTTCGTACATGGGGAAACTGTACTCGGGGAACACCGAGCAAATCCGAGCAGTGAAGGTCGGTCTAGTAACGACGAAATTCTTTTGAAAATCGGGCTGGCCGTGGCCCGCCTCAAGGACAACATATGGCCTTCGGCTGCGCCGACTATAGACTGAGGCGATTCCTTTAGGCTCGGCACCCACCCAGTCCAACAGAGGGTCCTCTACGGTGTCGATCAAACTCACAGTCTCGTCGACACTTTGTTCCTCCCTTTCGGGGCGTCCTGAAGAGCACGGCTCGTCCGCCATGGTTACCTACAGAGCACGGGAAACCAGTCAATTGGGCACGAAACCATACGCTCGTCGAAACGGACAAGATGAAGTGCGCGACAAACTGCGTCGCTCCACGCACGACCACAAAGTTGGTTTGAAACAAAAATAGCAGTCGCCTCCCCGACTTCCAGATGCCTCGACGGGCCCTTCTACAAGCCGCCTAAATAAACCGACAACGCGGTCACTCGTGAATACGTCGACCCGGGGTATAAACATGGCGAGCAACATCATAAAGCCTAAAGCTAGAGCTATGAGTCTACCGGGCACGATCACGAATTAGGCGCCCTGGATCATGAAGACCTCGGGCAGCACTGTAGATTATAACCTAAACTATGTATCTACCGGCCACGAACATGTGTTTGCCGACCTCATGCATGAATTTGTCGGGCTGAACATAAGTTTACCGGGCTATTCCCACGCGCACAGCCTCTAAAAACGTCTAAAACAATGAAAATCATGCATCACAACAGAAAAACAGAGAAGACAAGTCACTTACTTGGAATCAAGGAGTAGATTTGGCAACGGAGGAAAGGAATCGGTGACGGAGATCGCGGCGATGCTATGGGAATCTGGGAAGAACAACAGCAGCAGAAACAGAGCAAAGAGGAGAAGCGCGAAGAGCAGTAACACGTTCTGGGGCCCAAGGATCCTATTTATAGTGATGACGTGGAATACCAAACGTCACCTCGGGCAGCCACGGATTCCCCTCCTCGACGCGCAGCTCCCCTAGGAAATGATGACCCTATCCTCATAGGGTGGCGGCACAGTTCCCAAAAGATACCTCGCGTGCTCGACAGACGCATACCGTTGAGGAATCCCCGAGCATTCCCCGCGGGGGACTTGTCCCCGAACACGATACGGGGAAACCCTCGAGTACCCCCACGAGGAGCTGCGCCTCTGGCCCGGGCACGAGGCCCCGAAACGGAAGCAACCTAAGATCAAGCCATGGCTCCTAACCCGAGGAACCACGACTTGGGGGGCTCCTGTTCTGGACTGGGCCCGACAGGCCCAATAGCATTGATAAGGCCCAATCCAAACGGACTTGCTGGGGGTCACGCTGACCAAAGGATCACAGTCGTGCCCGACGTACTCCCTGGGGCTACTTGCTCGACCTCCTACTGTCCAGCTCGACCTCACCTCGAGCACCCCTCCTAGGGCAGACTCAGTCCACTACACCCTCACCTGGGTCCCGAAAAGACCGCGTCCTCGTCCGCCCGCACTTCACGCAGCACATCCAGGAAGGAGACCACGTGCGGGTCTCCACTACACACGTAGAACCTGGCAGTTCCTTCATTGGGCCAAACCTGCCCCGCCCAATGAAGGGACCTTGGCCCAGCGCTGGGGGCTATAAATACCCTCTGTTTCCAGAGGGTCAGGTATTCATCATTCTACCCATATTCTTACTATTGCCTGCTCGTGCTCTTACTCACTTCAGCATCAGAGTGTCTTGCAGGTACCCCCCACCTCGTTCAAAACTTCAGCTCGGAGCCAGCCGTGACGGTCCAAGTCTGATCAGGTCAGATCATGTTGATATGCAAAAATCTTTTTCAATGATTTCTAATTTTATAATTTCTTTTATAAATTAAATAAATTCCAAATATGACGGTATTTTTTACTTAATAAAGTTTTTTTTAATAAAGTAATGTTGGATCTAACTTGGACTTGGTCGTTATAATATATTTTTGACTAATCATTAAATATATACATATGAAAGATTCGACTTATTTTCACTTTTATTAAAGATTTTGAATTTGTTTTATTTTATATTAATTACTTAATTATTTATTTAAAAAAATAAAATAATAAAAATTAATAAAAAAGAAAATAAAAGATATAATTTAAAAAAGAGAAAATAAAAAATACATTATCAATATAAAATAATATATTATTAACTAAAACAATTTTGTAGTCCATCACTCATACGATATAACATAAATAAAAGATAAATTTCTATTGAATATCAGTGTAAAACTCATATCTTTAATCTTTTTTTAAATAAAAAATTATAAATATTTGAAAAAATTCAAAGCACAATATACAAAATAAGAATTTTTTATTAAATTTCTTAAATTATACCATTAAAACACAAAATTATAAAAATTTCTATTTTTATCTCTCCAAAATAAATAATAAATAAATGAAACAAATCGTGAGTCATTAATAAGAATTCCCCTATTAACAATTCCCCTACCACGCAATCTCTTACTCCCACCTCATGATAAAGAATCTACGGTCACAAATTCCAGCGTGTATCATACGACCAAATACCACTTCACATTCACATTGACCAATTCCAAAATTCCATAGAATATAAATTTAATTTCAAAACTATCACTCTCTCTCTCTCATCGTTGAAACTTTTACTAGCCTTAAGATTTTTCTCTCCACTTAACAGCACGCCGATATGATTTCTGAACTTCTCTGAAACCTTCATCACTCTTCAGGTAATTAATTATTATTTATTATTATTCCTTTTATGTCATTCTCTAATTCTCTAAATTAATTATAATTGATTACTGATAATTTAATTTAGTCAATGGATTCAATCATGTCAGTTTCTGCATTATCATATCAATTTGAATTCTTTAACATTATGTTATTAGTTCGATTGGTTTTGAAGTTAACATTTTTGTTTTTTGGTAGATTAGTTTAATCTGGTTGTGTTTCTGTGTGATTTCCAGGGATTTACGCAAGGTGCGGTTTGACTTTGTTGTTAAGAAAAACGTGATATTGTTGTGGAGGTTACGGAACGTTAATCAACAACAACGTTTGTATTCTTGTTGCATCTACGCTACTTCATGTTTGTTGTGTTTTGATTTTTTTTATTTTATTTGGGTGATTCCAGAGTCGAATGGAATTGGATCTATTAGCTCAGATCAATTCATTCTTGCCTGTTTTTGATTGGTTTGAATGTTTCATGTGGGGAAAATTGAAATTTTCATGATTCAAATTTTGTGCCCACCTAGTGTTTGTTATTGGGTCTGAGTCTTTTTGTTAGATATTGGATAAGTAAAGTATCGTTTTTTTTAGGTTCAAGGTGTTTTTCTTTTGAAAGTTTTTTTCTAAAGCTTTTGGAATAAATTAAGATGGATGAAGGTTGTAATTCTTGGGTTAGGAGGACAAACTTCTCTCACACAGTTTGTCACCGATTGGATTATTCGAGAATAGGCTCTTTCATCATTCCGCCAGATGCAGTGCAGACTTCTGGTCTGAAGTCAAGGGCATCTTCATCGATATCATCAGCTGCATCAGCTTCAGCACCAGCACCAGCTCCACCACCTCCTGTTGTTTCTAAGGTTTCAAAGGTTCAGAAGAATCCTTCAACAAATAAACAGAGATCTGTGTCTCCTTTGCCTGAAACCTATCTCCCTGAAACCTTTAAGGAAGCCAAGCTTGAACAGAAGAGGTTCTCTACTCCAGGTCGTAGGAGGAAAGAACAGGATACAAGAATCATGGGGAAACTACTGAACAAGGATTCTCAAGTTTCCAAATCTAATTCGACTCTTAAAAGTCCACTTAGGCACTTTGCATCAAAGAAATTCAGTGACAAGTCAAAGAACCGGAAGGACTCTGGGTGGTCAAAGTATTTTGACCACGGTGGAGTAAAGGTTACTGCAGTAGAAACGGCCGAGGAATGGAATGTTGACCTCTGTAAGCTCTATGTTGGTCTTAGATTTGCTTATGGAGCTCACAGTAGGCTTTACCATGGTAAGTATGAGGGTGAACCTGTTGCTGTGAAACTTATTAGGGTACCAGATGATGACGAAAATGGAACTTTGGCTGCTAAATTAGAGAAGCAATTCATCACAGAAGTCACACTTTTATCTCGCCTCCACCACCAAAATGTTCTTAAGGTAATCAAGTCCAACCCTTTCTCATCTTTCGTATCAGTTATTTATTTGCTGTTGATTTTTTTTATAGATAAAATACTCTACTTGTTTGTGTCTTATTGTGTTGCTTTCAAGTTTTTTTCACCTCAACTATGATAAGGTCTGCCAAAACATGATACACGTGTCATAACTTTTATTGAAGAACATTGTCGCAAGCATTTAAATGTTGTCTTTAGCTTTGTGCAGAGCTATTTGTTATTCTTGGTAAATACTTGGTTGGCATAATATACAATACTTTGTAATAATTATTGGACTTGATTCTTTAGTTTTGTTGAAATATCTAGCTGCGAGAATAAGGATGCTATTTTATGCATTCTTTGTTGTATTATCTTGATCTGATTACATGATTTCTCATATATCTTGATCTGATTATGCAGTTTGTAGCAGCATGCAGAAATCCACCTGTTTATTGTGTTATCACAGAATATCTATCCGAGGGTTCCTTGAGGGCATATTTGCATAAGTTGGAAGGAAAAACTATTCCTCTACAGAAGCTAATTGCTTTTTCTCTGGATATTGCTCATGGAATGGAATATATACACTCTCAGGGTGTCATTCATCGAGATCTTAAACCAGAGAATGTCCTTATTAATGAAGACTTTCACCTTAAAATCGCTGATTTTGGTATTGCTTGTGAGGAAGCACACTGTGACTTACTTGCTGATGACCCTGGTACCTACCGCTGGATGGCACCAGAGATGATCAGACGTAAATCCTATGGGAGAAAGGTTGATGTGTATAGTTTTGGCCTTATCTTATGGGAGATGTTTACCGGTACAATACCATATGAAGATATGACTCCCATCCAGGCTGCTTTTGCTGTCGTTAATAAGGTATGCTCCTTTGCAATTAAGTCATGCATTTCATTTTCTATTAGCAGTTTATGCAATCTGATTTTCAATAAAAACTATAGTTTGTCAGCCATCTTCTGTATATATTTTCACTCTCTCTTGAAAGTAATTTGCCACGGTTTACGTATGCAATTCTAATACTCCTACTCCTTGATGTGGTATTCAGAATTCAAGGCCTGTTATTCCTCTAAACTGCCCACCTGCTATGCGAGCTTTAATTCAGCAATGTTGGTCCCTGAATCCAGACAAAAGGCCCGAGTTCTGGCAGGTTGTTAAGGTGTTAGAGCAGTTTGAATCTTCGCTTGCTCGTGATGGAACATTGACCCTGCTGCAAAACCCTTGCGAGCAAGATCATAAAAAAGGCCTTCTTCATTGGATTCACAAGCTTGTTCCTGCTCATCAAAAAATCGGTCCTGTGATTAAACCAAAATTTACATGAATCTTCTGAATGTCCTGACTTTTGTAGTACACTAGGTTCATTGTAATTATTATTGAATAGTTTAAATACCAATCCTCTACAGAAAAGGTTGTTTTTGGTTTTCTTGCTGTAGTTCTCTTTATAGTTCTCTTTATAACATATGAGAGTTGTAAATTGATCTGTAGTATTAGCTTTTTTTTTAGGCCACAGTTATCTGTTTTAATTTGTTATATAAGCCAATAAGGTACTTTGTTTATTCTCCAATATCAATTTTGATACTATACTTGTATAATGTTTCACTTTTTATTTGATGCAATTGTAGGCTACTGTATGCATGTGACAATAAAGATTACTAATGTTAGATGATTTTTCATTTTTGGAAAATGCAGTGTACTCTACCTCCAAGTTCCAACTACTCTTGGATTCAACCAACATGACATTGAGTTATACTGTCAATCAATACTAAAATATCATAAAATTCATTAAGTTGGTTGTTGTTTTGTTAAACTTTGTGAATGAGTCACGTTCATTACGCTTTCACTAAAAAAGACACTATATGTTGGGATTATGTATTGATTTTTAAGACTTTTACATGCTTGAGATTATTATGTGCAATGAATCTTGCAGCAGGTTGCATGTGACTTCCAAAATTCTATTGGATCATTAGATTTTTTATGGACCAAAATATCACCTAACAAACGATTTTCAACCAAAATATCATACCAAAGAAAGTTACGATTTTACCAATTAACCTTATTGAATGTTGCTGTATTTTCATTATCTTAAATATAAAATGAAAATTTATAATTCGAAAGTCATGCGCATAATATATGTGATCTAAAATACGTGTTTTAGAAACTCAAATAAAAATATATCTTTTAAAAAAATTTAAATTTGATAGTTAAAAAATTGAGAAAAAAATGCATAGACATGCATCATAATAAAAAATAAATTTATTTTTAAAATACTGAAATAATATAGCAAACGTAAAAATTCTGACTGATTGTATATATAAAATTGTTTTACACAACAATGCATTATTTTTAAACTAAATTTTTTTTACACATTCTTATTTTCAATACAAACTTTTTTACTTTTAAATTAACACTTCCCATTAGGACACAAGTAGGAAAATTTAAACAATTAAAGTTATATTAACAATAAAAAAAAGTTGAATACTTCGGTATCCACTCTATTTAGTTGGGATCACCCATCATCTAATCAAATCATTTTATTTATTTTACATCACTTCTATTTTATTTTAATTTAAAATAAATCGAAATTTTAAATTAATTTTTATTAAAATTATCAATACACAACTAAAATTCACGAGTGTAAAAAAAAATCATCTTAAAATAATTTTTTTTAACCAAAAGAAAAAAAATTATTTTCAAATAATACGCAGAAGTACAAAGCCGATTAAAATGCTTCAAGCACCACAATGACAAAATAACCTGTCAGATAAACAAGGCTCAAAACGATTAATCTATTTACAATATATGCTCAACTTTCTATTAATACTAGTTCTCATGACGATAACCGTTGGAAATCCATCAAAACCTATAATGAATTTCTATCAATCTTGATGAACAAGATTGATATCACCATATAGTGATAATAAAAAATAAATAAAGAAATAAATTATTTTTCTGCAGAGTTTCTCTCTGCCCACAAACTGTGGAAACTTTATTATTCACTTACAACTGCAAATTCTTTGAATTCAATGAAATGACTTTTTTCAAAATAGGAATTACTCCCTCTATTTATAGATTTAAGTTAGCTTGCTCTCTAAGTCAAAGCCAAAAACTATGAAAGTCCAAAATACCTATTTTAGAACTAAATCAAATCTATCTATTTTAGACTTAAATCAAATATTATCTATTCTAGATCTAAAAAAATATGTGTGTAACAAACTATTTCCACACTTCTAAATCAAATCAAATCTTTTCGACATTCCCTTGTCTGTCGAACAAACTGCTTTGACACAAGGAATTACTTTTAACACACCACCTAATTCATTGTGTCTAAGCTATCTACATTCATTATAGCTCTTAGTCTTCTGAATATTTCGATCTTCACACCCTTCATCATGATGTTTGCAATCTGATTCTCAGTTCTGCAGTGTTCCAAGTTTATTTTCCCATCTACTACCCGCTCTCGAAGATAGTGAAATCTCATTTCGATGTGCTTGCTTCGACCATGAGCTATCAGGTTCTTCACCAAATTGATAGCTGATATGCTGTCGATCTTCATGGTAATTGCTCCATGATCTTTACCTGTAATCTCTTCGACCAAGTTCATCATCCATGTTGCTTGACATGCACAAAGAGAACCAACTATGTACTCTGCTTCACATGATGATAATACCACTACTGGTTCCTTTCTTGAACTCTAAGCAACTGGTGCACCACCTAACATAAATGCATATTCTGCTGTGGATTTTTGATCCTCAGCATCACTACACCAACTCGAATCAGTGTATCCTACTAACTTGCATTCTTTTCCTTTATTAGTTGCAGGAAATAAAATACCATAGTCGAGAGTTCTTTTGAGATACCTTAGTATCCTCTTCACCGCTGCTAGATGTGATACATTTGGCTTATGCATGAATCTACTTACCATACCTACATTGTATGCTAAGTCAGGCCTTGTATGACAAAAGGTATCTTAATTACCCAATAAGTCTTCTATATTGAGTTGGGTCGACATTATCTTCATCTGCATCTTTCGACAGTTGCAACCTTGGTTTTGTAGGTGTCGAAGTCGAATTTCATTCTTCCATCTCAAATATCTTGAGAATTTCTTTTGCATATCTTCTTTGATGCATCATAAAAACTCTACTACTCTTGTAGAATTCGATACTAAAGAAATATGAAATGTTACCCAGATTAGACACTTCGAATTCCTTGCTAAGATCACCTTTGAAGTCTTCAATCTCCTTCTTGCAGCTACCTGTTATTAACAAGTCATCGACATAGAGACATAGTATAAGGAATTTACCATTGCTTCTTCTTGCATATACTCCTTGTTCAGTTATGCACTTCACAAATTCCTTCTCCCTTAGAAAATTATCAATTTTCTTATTCCAATCTCTTGGAGCTTGTTTCAAACCATAAAGTTCTTTATGAAGCATGTACACCTTTCTCTCTTTGTTATTTTTCACAAACCCAACTGGTTGTTTAACATAAACCTCTTTGTCTAAGGGTTAATTCAGGAATAAACACTTCACGTCCATCTGACACATGTGCCAACTGTTTATTTCTGCAAGACCAACAACCAACCTGACTGTTTCGATCCTTGCCACAGGTGAAAAAACTTCATCGATGTCGATTCCTTGTTTTTGGAGAAATCCTTTCGCCACGAGCCTTGTGTTGTGTCGAGTTACTTCCCCTTTTGGATTCATTCATCTTCACTTTGTATACCTACTAGACATCAATTGCCTTCTTTCCTTGAGGCAATTCGACAAGTGACCAAGTGTTGTTGTCTTCGATAGACCTCGCTTCTTCGTTCATTTCTTTCACCCACTTTGAATCCTTCAATGCTTCAACTGCATTGACTAGTTCGACATCTGCATAGAAATTTGTTGCACCCCAAAATTTGCCCTCTTTATTCTAAACCTAATTGGCTTATGTTTCATCTTAGCATACACATTCATTCATTTAGGATGGGAACAAGGTGTTCTTATCTTATGGTCTTCTTCAAGAAAGGGAAAGGGTTAAGTTGTCAATCAGTAGAAGGAATATGAGATACCATCATTATTTTGGTAACTCAAGCTATAAGGGTTTCTCATGCCTCAAGACATCCCAATAGGTCCATCATGTCATCAGATGATTGGAGATGGCAAGAGGTTCGAAGTGAATCACATTTATCCTATACACTGACTCCGAAGTTAGGATTTTGATTAGTTTTGGGTGTCATCAAGGTTTCGTCAGAGATTGCTTTGAAATAAGGTTATGTTCTCTTCAACATATCAACTCACTTCCTCAACAGTGTGCATATATAAAAATATTCGAGTTTGTGGATCGTTGTTTAAGCTTGTTGATGTTCATCAATCGAGGATGGGATCAGGGTTTCATGGCAAGGATATCTTGGCAATCATGTTTTCTCTATGATTCAAATCCTTTCTCAAGGCATTGATTTTGTTTTAAGATCAAGATATCATGTGGTTTGGATTGCAAGACGTAATTTGTGGCATGAAAGATGAGCATGTGGATTTCTTCCAAGTTGTTTAGTTTGGTATGAATTAGAAGATTGAACTGAAATTAAGGTTTGTGGACATCATGATGCAAAAATACTTTATCTGATCAATTGGTTTACTTGTAGTACTAGTTACAGTCTTTAGATTTCATTCAATCGTCTCGAGCTAAAGCCTAAGGCTCCTATGGCGCATTAGGGTTTTATGGACCAAAGATCAAGAGGCAAAGAATCAAAGTTCATTTACTTAAATACACTCTAAAACATGATGATTCAATTTGGTATCATATGATATATTCAAGTTGCTAATAGTAAATAAAGAAACTTTGCATACCATGAGTTACATAAAACACAAAGCCAGAAGATTGGTTGTTCAAAGTGAAATTTGGAATAAATGTCCATGTTTAATTCAAAATCAAAAGGCATTAATCAAAGAGATGTGAGAATTCAAGTTCTAAGATTGAACGAGAAGAAATGCTTGGCAAGAATACCATTGAATCTTCAAAGGTCACATGATTCGCTACACAAGTACAATTACAATATCATGAGTTCATTACCAAAAATCATTCAAGAACAAACCATTACATATTTTCCATCAAACAAATTACAAGCAAGTTTTACAAATATTTGAACATGACGAAGAAAGAACTATCTTAATCCTAATGCTAAAACTTGGCCTTCCATCTCCATGCTCCAAGATTCACTGTCTTTGTTTTCAATCTTTCTTCATGTGTCAAGCCCTTGTACTTTGCTAACTTTCAGAAGTTACTTCACAAGTGCCTACTCTACAATCCAGCATTTACACGAAATCAAAACAACCAAAATAA